GCTGAGTGGGATATGGCAGCCAAAAAACTAATACAGAGTTAGACTGCATTAAGAAAGGCATAGTGTCCAGGTCTAAGGGGGTCAGACCACATTTGTTCAATGCTAGATCTTACATTTTAGGAAGGGTACGGACAAATGTCATATCTGGAGGAGTATTATCAGGATAATGAAGAACCTGCTAATTACACCATAAGATCAACTGAAGATCAGTAAACTAAGCACATTTAGCCTGAAGAAGAAAAGGTTTTGATGAAACATCATCATTGTCATCCTCGTCACCCCTATGATAGCTGTCTTCAAGTATCTGAAGGCTTGTCACATATCACAGACTTGTTTTTCTTGTGCCCAGAAGCCAGAACTAGAAGCAACAGGTAGATGTTGCAAGCTCTCTGAAAGCAGCATGGAATGCATCAGGAAATAGGGGGTTTCTTTTGACTCTCAAGTAAGAGGGTTTTATAGAAAGGATTTTTCTTCAGGTATGGCTTGGACTAAATGACTTCTCAGGTCTCCTCCAACTCTGAAAATCTAATTATTTTTTAACTTTCAATTCTGCTAAAGATCTTAAATTTCATTGGTTGGAGGGACGCCCTCGACTGATAGAGACAATAACCCCTCTCCACATCTTAGTCATTGTCATAGGTAATGACAGCCAAAAGAGAAGTCGAAAGAGTTTATCACCTAGTAGTCAATCTTCTGGTATCAGGAATTAAAAAATGCATATATTGTTCATAAATGGCCTAATCATTGAGCTTGACCTAAGAGCCTCTCACAGAAGAAAGCTAGCCTTTCCTCACCTCCCTGAAGTATTTGTACAAAAGTAAGATGGAAACAAGCCAAAAGTGAATGTGTACCTAAGCTGGCATGAGAAAAGAGGTCCTACAGGCCATATTATGCTGATGACCTACAGTGGATCACAGAAAGAAGGATGCAAGGAAGAGTTTCACTTTTGATGGAATGCTGGATTTTTGGATGAAAGCAAAACACTGTGATGTATCTCAGTCCTTCATGTACATAAAACAGGCATCTAGTTTATGAAATCTAATGAGAAATCCATTGCCAGCTAGCCAGAATGAGGAAATAGGTGAAAATGTAGAAATTTTTCAGTCAAGCAACAGAAATAGTTCTTTAGCCATTTAGTCTATCTGCCAAAGAAAGGCTTACAGTATGTTAACACGTCTTTACCGGCCTGGAAAATCTCAGAGGCAAGAGCTAAGATGAGTGACCCCCTTGGCCTCTACCCGATTCACATAAAGATACGACATCTCCACAGGGAGACAGAAGGAGCTTGGTGTGCTCTTTGGTCACAGCAGACTAAAAACTTCAGCTGGAGCCCCTGATTAGATCTGCCTTTGGGATGTGGGTGGGAAGGGAAGATCGTTCTCTAGACCAGGCCTGACCTCCTAAGCTCCCCAGGAGCCAGACTCAAACCTTTCCAAGCCATCCTTATTCTAGAAGAAATTGCACAAGTTCCCGCTGTCCCCATGCGCTACCCTAAGAGACAGTTCTAGTGTAGAGCTTTGTCTCAGCCTTTTTAGGATTCCTCCAGTTCCATTTCTGTTCATTTTCTTCTAGCAGAATCACAGAACACTGGGGCTGGAAAAGACCCTAGAAGCCTTTTAGTCCAACCTCCTCACTGAACAAATGAGGAAACTGAGACCCAAAGCCAGAAGCTAAAAAGTAGCAACTCTCTTTCACTTGAACCCAGCTTTTCAGAATCCAAGCCTACAATGCTTCCTACTATACCACATCTGCCAAAACCCCACCCCCACCTTCCCCTCTGCTGCTCCCAAAGAAAATTTGAACATATGCTATAATTTTGGGGGTTTTTTCTTTTTTGAGAGTACTCACTACACTTTTGAAGATCATTGGAAACACCCCAGGGACACCATGATATAATCATAAAGATTTCTAGTGCTGCCTGAAATTCCTCTGAAATGTGATTGTGGGTTTCATTTTATCACTCTATGATACCTCCATGAAATTCTCACTGCAGTGATTTTCCATGGGGTGAAGGTAATCCCAGACTGACTCCTAAAAGCCTTTCTATCAAGGGACAAGCTCTGCCAGGTCCTAGGAAGTTGGAAAGGCCTTGACTCTGGGCTGGCTGGAGGACCACCTAAAGACGAGCCAAGCTAAGTGTGCAGAGGCTCAACATTACCAGGGGGGCCGCCAGGTAAGAGACATTTGGGGCCAGAGCAAGTCATGTGATCATTTACTAAGATGTAAAGGAATTGTGATCTACACTGGTGGAAAGACTACCCATGCATGTAAAAATCACAGGTCTCTAGAACCTCTGTATGGGGTAGGTTCTCTATAGCTAGTCCAGCTGACGGCCAGCAAAGCCTGCTGTAGAAACACTCTTAACTGGCCACGACTTGTTCTTCCTCTTCCCACCCTCACCCCCACCCCTGCTTGTTTGTGCCTGGCTTGGATGTGACTAACTTTGTGGGATATTTTTTGCATGTTACCATTCAAATGTTTTATGATTTAAACGCTGTTTTCTCCCTCCTCGTCTGTGTTTCTCTTTTTTGTTGTCATTTTGTTTGTTTTCCTTCAGGCGGCCCCCTCCTGCCGTTCCAGGACGACCATCCTAACACACTCACCATTCATCTCCTTTTGTACCCAACAGCATTTATATCATGGTATTGAAAACAGCTTTCATTGGCATTGTATGCTGCATGTACAGAAATTTTTTTTATTTTTGATCACTGCCTATAATAAAACACCAAAAGTTTATTCTGTATAAAGAAATTAAATGTGTCTGTTTTTTCCTTTGCTAAGTGGAAAAGTTTAAATGGAAACTGTACACATTGAAATGCAGACTAGTTAAAAGAAAGAATGAACAGGAATGATCTGAAGGTTTAATGAGTTTGGGGATATAGAAGAGAATTCGGAAGATGAGACATCCTTCTGGCTTGGGGAAGTGATCTCTCTTAAAGTGAGATCCAATGAGAAGATGAAATAAAAATCAGGATTGTCTAGAGGAATCACAACGGTCTGGGTTATTTCAATCAGTCCTCTGGAAATCCCATAAATAAGAATTATTACGTCTACCTTTTCCTAAACTGTCACAGTAGGAGATAAAACATGTGAGATCATGAAAGAAACAGGAAGTGTGAATCACATAAAATCTCCCAAATTCCAATTGGCAATTGCAAGACAAAGAAATGTTACCCGGAACCTAGGGTAGAACAGTCTAAAGGATGTTGTCACTTTAAGAAAAAACATGATCAGGGGCAGCTAGGTGGCGCAGTGGATAGAGTGAGGGCCCTGAAGTCAGGAGGACCTGAGTTCAAATCCAGCCTCAGACCAAACACTTGACACTCACTAGCTGTGTGACCCTGGGCAAGTCACTTAACCCCAATTACCTAGCAAAAAAAAGGAAAAAAAAGAAAAAACATGGTCTTTGTTGAGTGACCATAAGGTTTTGGAAGAAGAGAATCTAGGGCATAGACTTCAGAGAGAAAATAATTTTAAATTTTTTTCTTAACTTTTTAAAAAGACAACTATCCTGAAAATGGAATTAGATAAATGGTGTCTTAATGGAATACAGGAGATCATACTATATGCAGGGCATAAACTTTTCATAATTCACAATGGTTTTAGACACAGTTCACACTTGGTGAAACTTTGTATGTTCTAAATCAGAATCAAAGAAATTACCAGGGGCAGCTAGATGGTGCAGTGGATAGAGTGAGGGCCCTGAAGTCAGGAGGACCTGAGTTCAAATCCAGCCTCAGACCAAACATTTGACACTTATAAGCTGTGTGACCCTGGGCAAGTCACTTAACCTCAATTGCCTAAAAAAAAAAAAGAAAAGAAACTACTCTCTTTTTCTGTGGGACTGAGTAGACTGATCATTGAAGGGGTTTCAACTTTAAAATTCACTCTGGTCATACCCAAATCCTACAGATACCTCTCCATGAGAAAGGCTTTGATGTATTAGCTATGAAATGAAAAAGTTCTCCATCCCTGAATATTTCTGGGTAAGTGGAGGATACAAGCTTCAGTGCTGAAGCATGATAAAAGTAGGTTGGAAGTCAGAGGGCCTTGCTCCAAATCTCAGCCCAGCTGCTTGCTACCGGTAACTCTAGGCACATCACTTGGACCCTCCAGATGTAAGGTTCTTCACCTGCAAGATTATGGAAGTGCCTATTTGACTCCTAAAGGCCCTCCCGCATCTAAATCTATGATCCCATGATCTTACAGGAGAAAAATGTGAGGCTTACTCTCAGATATACAAGTATTTTGGTGTTGTTCAGTCATGTCCAACTCTTGGTGACCCCATTTGGGGTTTTCTTTGTAAAGACACTGGAGGGGTCTGCCAATTTCCTTCTCCATCTCATTTTACAGCTGAGGAACTAAGGCAAACAAGGTTAAGTGACTTGACCAGGGTCACCCGACTAGTAAGTGTCTGAGACATTCAAATCCATTGAACTCAGCTCTTCCTGCCTCCAGGCCTGGTGCTCTATCCACTGCACCACCTAGCTTCCAGTTATATTTTCTTTTCCTACACAAAACCATTTTTGAAAGTACTCCAGTCAGAAGCTACAAAGCTTTTATTTTCTTTCATAGCTATGAGTTCTATATGGAATGTTATAATAATTCCCTCTTTCTAGTGATAAAGAATTATTTTCTAATAGTTCATAACTAATGATAACTAGGAAAAGTAGAAGCACAAGAAAAAGGAGCTCAGTACAAACTTACTCTAACCTGCAGATGACTAAATTGATGCACTGTCCTGGACAGAATGTACTCCTGCCCTTCCCTTCACCTTGAGTCAATCCTCTTGATTTGGTATATCTGTAGCAATAATCTTAATATACGACAATCTCTTCCAGAAAAATATAAAAACATAAATGTGAATTTCTTCTGGTCTGCTCTTTTCAATAATTTCCATTTGGAAATCATCCCAAATGTCTTAAACACATTTTTTTCCTATTCTGTACAACCTAGCATTATGAAGGTAAAACATTCAGGATTATCTTAAAGTTACTGACCTGATGACCAGTGTGATAGGAGTATCCAGAGCACAGCAGATGCTTCACTCTCTCTGTAAAAAGGAATGGTCCCTTTAATATTTCTGAAAAGAGGCAAAAAATAATGGAGAAGAGGAGTTGGGAAGAAAGCAGCTAATAAAACAAACCACAGCAAGGTGGGCAAGCATTATATTTTAATGCTGTTTCTCCATTTCATTCTATTTTCCCAACAAAAGATGGATCACAAAGCTCTACAGGACCTAGAGAAGCCAAAGTGCCTTCCAGGTGATCATGGTCCATGGTGGTCGCAGAAATCCAACCACTCTCTTTTTTAAAAATTCCATGATACAAAAGACAAAACACAAAATAAAACAAAACAAAAAACAAACCTAAAAAACAAACAAACCAAAAACAAAAAACAAAACAAATGAAAATAAAAATTCCATGATACTATATCTAGGTGCCTTTTCAGGAAAAACTAGTAACAACTTAGCAGCTACAACAGATGCTTGAGTTCTAGAACTGTATTAACCAGTTAAATCACATAATAGTACAATCCACCGTTCCAGAACTCAGTAGTTTTGACAGAAAGAAAGGGATAGAATTTATTTTTCAACCAATCAGAAGCCCAGATTGTTCTTTTCCCAATAGAAGAATGATGCAGGGTCCTAAATATTCCATGGACTGTTTCAGAAAAAAAGAAAATATTGGAATGTTGACCCTGTCATTGGGTAAACACTCCTAACTCAGAAGCTATTCCACAATGTCTTGGAACATCTCAAGGAAGAAAAGATGCAGCTGGTGATTTCCAAAACCAGGTAACCAAGGCTCACTCAGTATAAGAGATGGGCAGAAATCCTCAAAAGGTAAGATAATCCTTCCACTGATCTTTTACTCATGCCAAATCTAGTAGCAGCGGAAGGTCCTTAAACTTTCTGGATTACATTTGCATTGACACCTGATATCCTGGAAAACCATAGGAAAATATAGTTAGTACTGGTGAGGAGGGCCAAAGTTATCCCAGCCTCTCACTTGCCTTCTTGGACACCCAAGGGGCTTTTCAGCAGATATGGTTTTGTGATCACTTGGTTGCCTGGGCAGAGGTCATAGTATTTTGTAGCTTTAATATTTACAGAGCCCACATTTCCTCCTGATAACTCTCTGAAACCCTATAGGTAGTAGTGGCATGATCGTCCCTATTTCAAAGATGAGGACATTGAAACTCAGAGAGATCCTGTGACAATCCCAAGATTACACAGCTTTAGCCACTGACTCTCATTCTCCTTTTTTCTCCACAACTGAGGAAACGTGATACTTGTTGGCCTCCATATTTTCACTTTGGTCAACATTAAATACAATAGAAATCCTCAGGAAAAGTGCACTTGGTAGTGGGTTTGGCTTGGTTTGGTTTTTTTAATCACGATTGCTTAACTGTTCAGATGGGCCCCATTGTTTTTCTGTGCTTCTGAAATAAACCTTTTCCAAAGGCGAATCCAGTTTGGATAATATGAAGCTCCTAGGCGAAGACTTCATCCATCCCTCTGTATTTGCATCAACATATACATACACCATCTAACCTGAAACACCAGGATGCCTGAGTCCCTCTCTCTTCATTTGCAACAGTACAATTCACTCTTGCATTGCTCTGTTTGTCAGTGTGCTGAAAGGTTATGCCAAGGGGCTACAGGGGCCAGCACTGTGAACTGCCACCTGCATAGCCACATTTATGTCAAACACAATTCTCCAACAGATGCTCTCAGGTCCTGGTGTCCTCTTTTTGCATGTGCAAAGAACTCTACAGGTACAAACTATTAGATATAAACCACTCAACCTCAAAACACAAATCTGGGTGTACCTCTAAAGAAGGTATGCCAGAGGCCTCACCCACTCAGAAGGTCAACTAATGGAACAATTGCTATTCATTAGACACCTCCAAGGCTCCAAAGGGGCTTGTGGAGCCTCTACATTTACTGCCAATTTGTCACTTAGCTTACGGAGGCATCTAATGGACAGATAGGCCTGGAGTCAGGAAGACCAGAGTTTAAACACAGCCTCAGACAGCTACTTGGGCAAGTCACTTAACCTCTATTTGCCTCAGTTTCCTCAACAGTAAAGTGGAAATAACAATAGCACCTAGCTCACAGAGTTGTTGTAAAGATCAAATTAAGCAATATTTGTGAAGATATTTGTTCAGCACAGTTTAGCCTAACATACAGTAGGCACTTAATAAATGTTTCCTTCCTTGAGGATCAGTTTATAGTGTCATAGCTCTACTCTAAGTAGATAAAATTTAAAAGGCAATGGAGAAAGTATAAGCAGATTAAGGAGAGATCTCTTGCCAATTTTCTCTTTTTTTCCTTCTTTCCAGCAGTAGCTCCCAATCCCTTCCCCCCCAAAAAAAAGCCTTCCACTGCATAGACAAAAGTCAAACTTATATTCCACAAAGGCTAACACTATTTATTTTGCAATTAAAGAGTAAGTGATCCTTTCTGAAATGTTTGCTTATCACTGACTCATTCACAGCAAAATTACTATCACAGAATCATTAAAGCTAGAAGATGCCTTAGAAGTCCTCAGAGTTCAGAGGTGACAGACACACTGCCCTCAGCATTACGGCCTACAACACTGAGTGGGGCTGAACCAGATTAAAATATAATTGGGAAATATTTAACAAAGTAAATAAAAATACAGTAGGATAGAAATGATGTTAATATATAGTTTCCTAAGTCCATATGCGCCCACAGGGATTTTTAGGAACAGTTGCATGGCTCTCCCATTTCTATCTTGAGTTTTCTCTTACCACGAATAGTCCAACCCTGTTCTGCAGCTCCACCTCCCGGCTCCCACACACTCCTTTCACAAAGGAGGAGCCTGCAGCCTTGCTCAGCACAGGCTCAGAGTCAATCCCTCTTCTTCTGATGCCATTCTCGGTACTCTTTCCACTAAAACCACATGATCTGGTTTTTTGTGTGTGTATATGAAATGAAGAAAAAATGGAGAAAGGTGTCATGCATATCCTAGTGCCCACTGAGTTGGAATATTGCCTAGGCTAGGGAAGAAGAACAATACGAGAAGTCATCCTCTGAAGCTCCCCCTAGGAACCAATTAAATATTAGAACAAAAATAACATATCGGTACTCAATTTTTAGTGGTCTATTGCTCTACCTTTCCCTATGATTTACTCCTTCCAAACCGATTTTTCAGCTTTGCCATGTCCTTTATTCACCCCACTCCTCAGCACCCTCTCAGACCAGCACCTCTTGCTACATTCTCCTCTCTTCCCAATCTACAGTGTCCCCTACTCTCCAATGTCTTGCTTCTTTGTTCCATCGACACTTGCCTTGCCAAACCCCGATCCTGAATTACTCCTATCACTTAGCTCTTCCACCGCTACTCATGTCCCGCTGAATGGCGCCAGAGGAAGCCACAAAACGCTACTGACTACATCTCCTACAAATGTATACTACCTAAAGCCCATGCAGCAGCAAGGGAATCTTTTTACTCCTCCCTAATTGATTCTTTCTCCAGATACCACAGCAGCTGTTCCAAACTTCTCTCCTCAAACCCTCCACATACCTCCCTTCCCTCACTCTTATAGCTGAGGACTTCACCTCCAACTTTCTAGAGAGAATCAAGGTCATCTGCCATCAAGCTCCATCTTCAGCCCTGCTCCTAATCTTGCAGTTCCTGGACATTTCCCTCTCCATTATCTTCTCCTTTTTTCCAGTCCCTGATGAAGAGGTGACCCTTCCTGCCAAGGCTACCTCCTCTACAAGTACCCTTGTTCCTATCCCCTCCTCATCTTCTCTAGCAAATTGTTCCTACAACCACCCCTCCCTCTTTCTAATCTATCTACGTGTTCCTTCCCTAATGCTGACAAACATGCCCATGTTTCCACGCACTTAAAAAAAAAAACCATCAGTAGGTCCTACCATCATCCCCACTAGCTATCTTTTAGTTCTCATTCCTTTCTCAGTGAAACCCCTTGAGAAAATTGTCCACCCTCATTCTCTCTATACTTTCCCTTGGCATTCTGGTTTCTGATCTCATCACCTCTCTGAAACCACTCTCTCCAAAGTGATATCTTAGTTGACAAATTGAATGGTCTTTTCTAAATCCTTACTGGTTTTCACTTGTCTGAAGCTTTTTACACTACTGACAGCCCTCTCCTCCTGGATGCTGTTTCCTTTCTGGTTTCATGACATTTTTCTCAGTCCCCCGCCTACCTGCCTGATTTCAGTTCCTCAGTTTCCTTGGCATTCTGAATCATCATCTCCATCAAATCCACCAACTATGGTATGCTCCAAGGCTCTCTACTGGCCCCTGACTGCTTTTCTTTCTAAATCCTCTCATTTGGTGATTCCATCAACTCCCATGGGTTCAATGATCTCTATGCAGATGAAGCCCAGACCTATATAGCTAGCCTGAGTCCCTCTCCTGAGCCGTAGCCTCACATAACTAACTGCTTAGTGGATATTTCAAATTGGATATTATAGACATCAGAAATTCAACATGTCCAAAACTGAATTGATTAGTTTCCTCCAAAAACCATCCCTTTTCTGAATTTCCCTATTTTTTCCCCAAGTCAGCACCATAGTTCAAAGAAAGATTTGAGCCTCCAGTGTCATCCATAACTCCTCATTCTCTCATCCCTTACATACAATCAGATGTCACCATCTGTCATTTATTTCTCTCTCTACAACTTTCACATGTTCTTCCTTTACCCACAACCCTACTCCTGCTCCATTGATCTCCCCTTCTCTGGTCTCTCCCTACTCTGATCCATCCTCCACAAAGCTGCCAAACTATTTTTCCTAAGGCACAGGTCTGACCATATTGCCCCGCCCCTCCTATATTACCTTTAGGGCCAAATATGTACTCTTGTGTTTGGCATTTAATGTTGTTCAAAACCTGATCCTTTCCTACCTTTCCAACCTTTACCTATACCCTGCAGTCCAGCTATACCAGCCTTCTTGCCATTCCTCATATATTACACTCCATTTCTCACCTCTGTCTTTGTACTGACTGCCTCCCATGCTTAGAATCTTCTCCCTTCTCAAATCTGCCTTTTTGAATTCCTGGTTTTCTCAGATCAGGTACTGCCTTACACAGGAGTGCTCTCCTGTTTCCCATCTTCAACTGCCTTCCCATCCAAAGTTAGCTTGCTCTGCTTCGCAGGTGTTTTGAATCTATCAATTTATCTGTCTATCCAACTATCTTATCTGCATGCTCTTTCTCCTGGAATGTAAGTGTCTTGATGGCAGGGATTATTTCACTTTCGTCTCTGTGTCCCCAGAGCAATGCGTGGCACATAATGGAGATTTAATAAATGATTATGATTTCTTTGATTGACTGATCTGA